CATCCATCTCATATCCCTGTCATTTCCCCATTCTACACTTTTTCACAACACTGCAATCACATTGTGTCACAGAACCAGGGAGGGACTGTTTCAGCTTGAGTTTGCTAGAAAGGGAAGATCCTAACTAGCTCCCAAGGATTTCTCAACAAATAGTTTCCAGTTCTTTTTGTCACACAAGAAATATTTATCGCGCTCAAACACAGAACGCACTCTTGAGTGAATAGTCAATGAAAGGACATACTGACAGTTAGCGCACCCAGGACCGGCGGCCACCCTGGTGGTGTCCCCCCTCCCTGTCTTTGCTGTGGGGCTCGGGTCTGTGTGGTTTTCTTCCTGCATGGGGGGTGTGTAGGCCGCAGCTCTCCTGTCGGCTCATGTATGCCCTGGAGACATGGTCCAGTCTAGGAGGACTCTCCACTGGCATTTTCGGAGGCCGTGACACACAGGTGTTTCAGCAACCTCTGCTCTGGACTTCTTCCAAATGTGCAACTCATAGCAGAGCACAAGAAAACATCTGCCTCTGTAAATCTCATTTTCCAAGATGGATTCCTCGCGATGCATAACAAAGCAAGGCCACAGAGATAGAAGTGCATGGATCCCTCTGCAAATGGGAAGGGATCCAAGAAAAGGAGTGTGAGAGGAGAAGGAGAAGTAAGAGAAGAAATACATGCCACACACAGGACCTTAATGACCTAAATGAAGGTAGAGTTTATATAATTATACCTCCACTAATGATAGAAGGAAGTTCAACAGTATTAACACACAGTTACCTATCTCAAGATTCAGAAACCGTAATGATTACACTATTAAAGATATAGGGAGCTGGGAATGGGAATATGTAGGGAGAAAAATTTGTAAAATTCAAGAATGGCAGGTGAGGAATAAAGTGAGACAAAGCTACCTGCGAAGTAGTGGAAGTACATTTATATAATTTAGTTAATATAGGAAACACTGCAAAAATAGAAGAGGAAAGGAAGAAAGGGAGAAAAATATAGTGAATGAAAAATGTAAAAAAGGAGAAAAGAAAAATGCATAAGAAATGTAGAAAAAACAACAACAAGAATAATAAAGGACAATCGTTCCCCAAACTTGAAAATACTATTGAAGAAAAAAAAAAAAGAAAAAAGAAATCAAGGACAACAAAAAAAATTCTCAGTAATTTTGAAGGATTGGTTTCTGTCCAGGATCTGCCAGTGTATGGTCCAGTAAATCACAGTGGTTTTCCAGCTAGCCTCATAACACATGGGTTTGTGAGGTGCCCCCACTATTCCAGAGGCTCCTCTGTTAACTGCAGGCTATGGCAATGTCTAGGCCAAGACATGTCCTTGCTTACATTAGTAGGTAGGGGAGGCAATCAGACCTCAGATTTGTGTTGGATGTAGGCAGCAGGACAAGGGTTCTAGTACTTAATGCTGGTACTTCCAAACCCAGCCTTTTCTGAGAGTAACTCAGCCAGGCCGGGCTTCTCCTTTCTGACATACCCATGTTTATAGCAGCACCATTCACAATAGCTAAATCTTAGTAGTGGCCTATATGTCCATCAGTGGATGAATGGATAAAGAAAATGTGGTATGTATATACAATGATGTACTCTTTTGTCATAAAAAGATAAATTTGAGTTTTTTATAGGAAAATAAATACACCTTGAGACTATAAGGTTAGTGAAACAAATCTTACACACAAGCTTAAGTAGCACATGGTTTCTTTTATATGAGAAACCTAAATTATAAAGACCAAAATAAAAGATGGATAATAGGAAGCGGGGAAATAGATATTTCTTAAATGTGAAGGGGATCAAGAGAGGAAAGGAGTGAAAAGGAGGTGAAAAAAGGAATTAAGATGTGTCACACAACTACGAACACACTCAGCCAATTTATCTTTGACAAAGGGGCCAAATATGTTCACTGGAAGAAAGATAGCCTCTTTAATAAATGGTGTTGGAACAATTGGCTTTCCACATGCCAAAGACTAAAACTAGACCCATGTCTATCACCATGCACTAAACTAAAGTCAAAATGGATCAAAGATCTAAATATTTAAACAGAAATACTAAATCTGCTGGAACAGAAAGTAGGTAAAACTCTTACAGACATAGGGGTAAGCCAAAAGTTCATGAACAAAAACCAAACTGCATGGGAAATACTTCAAAGAATCAACATCTTATTGAAAAGTTTTTGCACATCAAAAGAAATCACCAACACAGTAAAAAGAAAACCCATGAACTGGGAAAAATTTTAGCCAACTGCCCCTCAGACAAAGGACTTTTATCTAGAACATATAAAGAATTTTTAAAAATCAGCAGGCCCAAATTCGAAGACCCAATACAAAAAGGGGCATCTGAGATGAACACACACTTCTCAGATGAAGAAATACTAAAGGTAGATAAATATATAAAAAAATGTTCAACATCATTAGTCATTCGAGAAATGCAAATTAAAACAACACTGAGATTCCATCTCACCCCAGAAAGAATGACTATCATCAAGAAATCAACTAATAACAAGTGCTAGAGAGGCTGTGGGGAGAAAGAAACCCTTTTCCACTGCTGGTAGGAGTGTAGATTGGTGCAACCACTGTGGAAATCAGTTTGGAGACTCCTCAGAAAACTAGGTCTAGAGGTCCCATTCAACCCAGCTATTCCCCTTCCGGGTATTTTCCTAGAAGATCTGAAAACATCATATCACAGCAATATATGTGCACCCATGTTCATAGTGGTGCAGTTCTTAATTGCTAAACTGTGGAAGCAACCCAAATGTCCATCCACTGAGGAATGGATAAAAAAATTGTGGTACTTTTATATAATGGAATATTACTCAGCTATAAAGAAAGATAAACTTGAGGCTTTTATAGGTAAATGGTCACAACTAGAGACCATACTCATAAGTGAAATAAATCAGACCTGCATATGTAAGAATCATATTGTCTTACTAGTATAAGACCTGAAAGAGTGAATAAAAACTAGGAGGTATGACAGACATTGTGAAACGAAAGGAAAATGCTCATAAGTAAACTGTAACTGGGATGTGGGAAAAGAGAAGGGAAAGAAGGGGAAATAATGTAAGTACATACATACAGGATAGTTAACATAGTTATAGTACTGTCTTCTATTGCTCTACAAAAGGAACAGTTAATGATTACTTGTTTGATCAATCTTGCATGTCTCTATTTGTTTTCTTGAGAAACCACCTGAAGATATCAATAAGTAATACAACAACCATTGTTAATTTCCTACAACTTTGTCTGTAACTCTGTATTGTTTGTATTGTTCTTATGCTGTTTTGTAAGTGGATGTCTGTTTGTTAATACGTTTTTCTTCTTTTATTTCTTAAAAATAAGTAAAAATAAAAATTTTTTTGCATAAGTGTTAAGTTTTAACACTCTCAAGCCTGCATTGCTCTCTATCACTACATCCCTTTTGGAATGCAGTTCAGGATAACAATCTCAGAAAGAGATGAGATTAGAACTGCAGAAGAGCAGGCATTATCTCCTATCATAAAGCTTCTAATTAAGTAGAGATTTTAAGGCACTTACCAAATTAGTATTCTTACTCTTTTATCCAATGCAGCAATATAAGTAAAAAATACATAAAGGTCCTGAGTTCTATTCCTGGTACCAAAAACCAAAAAATATATAATCCTATTCTAATCT